TCTCATTGTTAACTGGTCCTCTCTTTCTCTCTTTTCTCTAGCTTATACATCCTGCTGTCTGTGAAAGAAGGACCTGCTGGGTTGTTTATGAATCTATAACCTGTATTTCTTTTTTAAAGATCTTAAATTTTTCTCTTAAACTAAGTGTAGACAGTTGACTGAAGTACACAGAAGGGTTAAGTAAGATGTATTTAGAGAAGCTACATAATGCAGAGGAAAACTGGAAACCTCGGGGCATGGCTTTTGAAGGGAGAAATCTCTCCCCATCTTCCCTTGTGGGAAAGTATTAAAAATGGGACTCAAGGTCTATGTGACACCATATGAAAGGCCATTTCATATACACGTACACACCTCTGTAAGCAACCAGTGTTTAAGAGGGCAATGCAAAGAAGCTTAGGAGTAAGTAGTCTCTCATAGATAAAGTTGAGTTGAGACAGAAGTTACTTTATATAACTTTTAGAGTTTCTTGTTCCTTCTAGTCGGTGGATAGTATCCTTCCTCAAGAGAAGCTGATTAAGTTGGATTCTGTCTGTTCCTGGCTTCAGACCTAATCATGACCATTAAAAATATATATCTTTTCCTTTGTCCAAAAATCCCACTCTAGTCTTGCATTGTAGTTGCTGGTGTGTCGTTGGGGGTGTGTTGTATGTTTTCAATAAGCCATATTTTAGGGAAATAGCAAAAATAGCATATGTACTTCCAATTAAATTTGTATTGTTTTTGAACATATTGACAGCAAATGTTTGTTATTTGTCAGCAGTGGGCTATATGCTGTATAAAATGGAATCAGGCATGGGTTTCATATCTAAACAAGCAAGGTGTAAATCAGCAAAGGATAACTAATGACAATGATGGAGTAACATTTGCCATAGGCCAGGTACTGTGCTAAGGACTTTCTATGCATTATCCAGCTGAATCCTCAGAACCATGTGAGCTAAGTATTATCATACCCAGAGAGATTATGAAGCTTGCTCCATATCACACAGCTAGTAAATGGTAGATCCCAGGATCTAAGTTCAGGTCTGATTCCAAAGCCCTTGTCCTAAACACTGTGCAAATTACTCTTACACAAATTTAGTACTGAGCATCAGAAGCCTCAGTCTTTCCCATGGAGCAAAGCAACAGGAAAACCCCCTGAAGTGTCTGTTAGAATTCACTTTTAGAAACCAGATCTTGGTAAGACTCTGTTTATAATTTGTAATAGGATTTCATGTTATTTTAAGAGTAGAGTTTTCAAGTGTCCTAATTGCCTCAGAGGAAAATATACCTATAGTCTTCTGCTCAAGTTGTGATGATTGTAATCATTGTTTTGGGAAATGTTTTCATTCTGTCCTTTTTGCTGAAAATATTTAGAAAGCCACAACAATTCAGTAAGATGGCATGATTAGCAAAGCCTTGAGTTTGGTTGCTATGTATCCCTTTGGCGATTTGGCTTTAAGACTCATAATTAAAAGGGAGAGGATTATTAGCAAAATCAGTTAGGAGCTTGTTCTTTTGCCATTGGGGAGTGAAAATATTTTCTTCCCTGTCTACTGTTTCACCAGAAGCGGAAATTATGCTGGGTATCTTTTGAAGTACATCTGTAGTTCAGTTTTATGTTCTGTAGGGTATCATTTCATTAGTTCTGTACAATAAAACCATCATCTCAGTGCAAGTTTCCATTACAGAACCAGTGAATTGAGAAAGAGTGGTCTAAATATTTTAGTCAATGCCTCATCATTGAATTTGTAAGTTTCTAGAGACATGCAGTACCTTTATATCTTGATTTCCCCCATGTATATGGTGACATGCTTTACATGGTAGGTATTAAGTAAGAAATTTTTTCTCATTACTATTAATCATAACATTGGAGTCCCAGTCATTTTCACCAAGCCATCATTTAAGAAGAATCACAAAAATACTAGAGCTAACATATTTAGATCTCTCAGAAGTTCCACATTTTTTTTTTTTTTTTTTTTTTACTAAGATAGACAAATATATTATTTAGTTCATTGGTAGGTAAAGCACATAGCATTTTTCAGAGCAATGTTAGTATCGTATTGGCCTTGATTTAAATAATGAATATATTTTTCTTACTAAGATTTTTACACAAATTCTTTGCAGTTAAATCAAACCTAGGGCCGGGCGTGGTGGCTCACGCCTGTAATCCAAGCACTTTGGAGGCCAAGGTGGTTGGATCACCTGAGGTCGGGAGTTCAAGACCAGCCTGACCAACTTGGTGAAACCCTGTCTTTAAAAAAAAAAGAAAAAAAAAAGATAAAGATAAAAAATAAAAGAAGTCAAACTTAGGAAGGACTAAAATAGGTACAAATGATCAGGTACCAAAGTGTATCCTGATAGAGAAAATTGTGATTTAGTGTTCTTTTGTTAGAACCAACTGTCGGAAGCCTATGACATATACTAATTTATTAACCTGTATATCCTCATTCTGAAGGAAATAATAATAGCAGTTGCTTCTATTTATTGAATATTTGCTATGTGCCAGATACTTTAAGTACCTTACATTGATTATCTCATTTAATTCTCATAAAAATTCTAAAAGATAGATATTATTTGACCTATAAACAAATGAAGCTCAAAGGTACACAGGGTCAGAATCAAAATTTGAACCCAGTTTTACTGAACTCCAAAGCTCTTACCCTATATTATAAAAGAGAAATGGCTGGGCATGGTGGCTCATGCCTGTAAGCTCAGCACTCTGGGAGGCCAAGGTGGGGTGGATCACTTGAGGTCAGGAGTTTAAGACCAGTCTGGCCAACATGATGAAACCCCATGTCTACTAAAAATACAAAATTAGCCGGGTATGGTGGCATAGGCCTGTAGTCCTAGCTACTTGGGAGGCTGAGGCAGGAGAATCACTTGAACCCAGGAGGTGGAGGTTGCAGTGAGTCAAGATTGTGCCATTACACTCCAGCCTGGGCAACAGAGTGAGACCCTGTCTGAGAGAGAGAGAGAGAGAGAGAGAGAGAGAGAGAGAGAGAGAGAGAGAGAGAGAAATGAACACAAGTCCTTCTTTATACTCATATAGTTGAATAGTTGTTTAAAGTGAATAGTTGTTTCACGGAGGCTACTTGACCATTTCCAGCCATTTTAACTGAAGACATAGGTGATTCTCACCGGTTGATGGAAAGTAGCAATAAAAAAGAATATGAGAGATAAGATTAGCAAATACTGAGTGGAATCCTGCAATATCTGATTATTACTGTCAAGTGACTGGAGGCTCACAAGCCCAGTGGGCACGCAGACCTTAAAAGGTTGTCTTCGCTATTCGAGTACTTCATTTCTTTACCTGACCTTGCTGTCCTGCTCCCTCTCAGCCCTCTATTAAGCTGCCATTGATACAGGATTTATAATGTGTCACTGGTCCATTCAGGATACAGTGACAGAGGTGTGACTGAAAAGCTGGATAATAAAGAATGGAGGTGATTTCCATTTCTGCTCAAATCAGGGTGGCAATAACCATAGCTGACCCTTGGTTCAGACCAGCACAGTCCAGCTAGACAAATATTCCCAGCACTGAATTGTGTACGAACTGCCCAGTGCCCTTTTCAGAAGGGACACTGCCTCTGAGTGACCAAGATGCTCATAGTTTCTTCCCATGATGAGAACATCTAAACCTTGGAAAATGATTGTGGTATTCATTATGTTATAATTTTCCAAGAAAGAATCTGTATTTATTTTTCCTCTAGGCTTCTAAACAATAAGGTAGATTTTACAAATGAGGATTTTTTAGGAATAGTTTCTTGACTATAACAAATTTGAAAATATTGTGTGGCACTGGATCACATTAATTAGGTAATTTTAAAGTCCTTTCCAGGAATTTTAAATGTTGTGAACTTTTTTTTTGTACAGGTAGGATTATGTTAATTTGCGTATTAAATACATAGTGAGACTTTGAACTTCTTTTGTTAGAATTCAACTATTTAGCCGGGCGCGGTGGCTCAAACCTGTAATCCCAGTGCTTTGGGAGGCTGAGGCGGGTGGATCACGAGGTCAAGAGATCGAGACCATCCTGGTCAACATGGTGAAACCCCATCTCTACTAAAAAATACAAAAAATTAGCTGGGCATGGTGGCGCGTGCCTGTAATCCCAGCTACTCAGGAGGCTGAGGCAGGAGAATTGCCTGAACCCAGGAGGTGGAGGTTGCAGTGAGCCGAGATCGCACCATTGCACTCCAGCCTGGGTAACAAGAGCAAAACTCCATCTCAAAAAGAAAAAAAAAAAAAAAAAAGAATTCAACTATTTAAAAGAGGAGTGTTATTTCTTTAGAGTCAAACTCATTCCTGTTTCACAAATTTGCAAATAAAACCCTGACTTTCTTTTTCTTTTTTTTCTTTTTGAGACAGAGTTTCGCTCTTGTTGCCCAGGCTGGAATGCAATGGTGCGATCCTGTCTCACCGCAACCTCCACCTCCTGGGTTCAAGCGATTCTCCTGCCTCAGCCTTTCAAGTAGCTGAGATTACAGGCACGCACCACCACACTTAGCTAATTTTGTATTTTTAGTAGAGACGAGGTTTTTCCATGTTGGTCAGGCTGGTCTCGAACTCCCAACTTCAGGTGATCCGCCCACCTCAGCCTCCCTAAGTGCTAGGATTACAGGCATGACCCACCGTGCCTGGCAGATATAATTTTAAAAATTAAAGTCTGATAAAATGTGTACATGTGAATTTAATTGTGGTTAGCTGTCTATTATTTAACTGATAGGATAACACGCCTTAGTCCCAACTTACACAGCATTTAGAATGAATTGATAGAGGCTTTACTCTGAAAAAAGTCATTCTATTTCCTCAGTTTTCTGGGTTTTGAATAACTGCTAGGCCTTGCCAGATATTCTGGTCTAAAGATAAAGCTGGTGAAAGTCAGAGCTGGGGTTTTCCTACCTCTGTATTTATCAGTCTTCTCCTAAACCACAGTCTACCTTTTGATAGTTCTAATAATTAATTTGGTCTTTTCTGTCTTTATTCTCCCTTACCCCTCCCTTCTCCCTGTCTGTTCACAGGTTATCTTGACGAATCAGATTACAACCCATCTGAGTGGAGCCCTGGCTTCTCAGGCAGACCTGGTGTCTCCAGCTGATGATTTGTCCCTGTCTGAAGGTAAGGAATCTGTCCTAGAGAGGCTGAAACTTGACACTGACATACAGCCCTACTGCTTCTCCACCTCCTGTTGAGAGCTGGGAGATATGGCTAATAGGCCCTGGCTGGTGAACCCAGCCAGAGCCTGTTGATTTAGGTTTGGCCACCTTTCCTGGCATCTGATCTTATGTTTGGGGAGTCTCTTGCCCTGCCTCTATAAGTGAGATCCAGTTGGAGGCCAATCACTCCTCTGTGAGCTACTTCAGGTCCTCAGAATAAGGGCTGATGAATTGCTAAATGATTTTGTTTCTGAGACTGATGCTCAAAGGTTGGCTTTACCAGTGATCCCATAGCAATTTAGCCTTTTCTTTGTGCTGAGCTCCTTTTGACTAAAAAGTATACATCAGCTTCATGTGCCAGAGATATGACATTCCTGATCAGCTTTACAGAAGATTAAGAAAAAAATCTCCACGTTGGTAAATCTGCAAAATTTTCTCCACCCCCTGCTAGCAAAGGTCAGGCTGGCTATGGTTTCGATGGCAATAAGCTTTACGTAGCTGGGGAAATAACATCAGTAAACCAGAGGGTGGTTTCTAGTTTTATTGAAAGTGCTTACTTGACATTTCTGAGTTGTTCTCCTTATACTCTAGTATCTTTCATGCAGATTTCTGCAGGCCTGAGTAGATGTGCATAACTCTTCCAGACCCCTTCTGCCTTTCCACTTCCTGAGAATTGTTCACGATGGAATACAGGAGACTTTTAGGTCTAGCAAGGCTCCTGACTGACTGCCCAGGTGGTCTTCTGCCCATCAACTTTGCTTGATGGTCTTAGAAATTGCAAGAACCACACCTCTGCTTCTTAGTGGTGACCTTAGGGGTGAAAACTAATGGCTTATTTATGAAGACTGTACAACATGTTGTGTACCTCCTTCTAAATTCAAGGATATGTCATCATAACCCCAATCAACAGGGCTGAAAACCTGAATCATCAAATATCCCTCCCTCCTGAAACTTTTGTAATCAAATCTGCTTAGTACTTCTTTCCATGTATGTCTTTCCTTGGTCCCCTCTTTTTTGTAATGTGTGTTGTGATCAGCTGGTTTACTAAACTCCCAAGTGGATTATTTTAATAACATCCAGATTGACCTTCCCAATATAGCCTCTACCATTTCCATTCTGCCACGACCAAATTGAACTTCCCCATCTGGCGTTGTTCTACTATGTTGCTCTCCTATTCAGAAATCTTAGAATTTTTTTTTTTCCCTGAGAATGAACTAAAATCAGTAAGCTGTTTTTAAAATATTTAGGGATTTGGGGTTTGTTAGCTTGAAATCAGCCATGGTAAAAGTATTTATACCATGGAAATCAGCAAATGCTAAAAATCAGGTGGTTTTGTTTTGTTTTGTTTTGTTTCTCCTTTGGGTAGACTGGTTTCCAGAACACCACTAAATAAAGTTAATGCTTTTAACCCTTCATAATCTGTCATTTCCTTTCTATTCAAATTTAGTTCCTGCCAGTATCCTAGGTGAAGCTCCTATGCCAAGCGTGCTGCTCTTTGCCTGCCCCTCCCCACTCCCAGGTCCATGCCTGTGTATAGACAGCTCTCCCTCTCCAGATCAGCACTTCCCTTTTTCACTTCCACTGCCTCTTCTCATCCCACATCCACTCCTTCAAGGCTTATTTAAAGACTGCCTCTTTCACGGAACCCCCTTGCCTGTGGTCTCACTCTCTGTTTTTCCTCTCTGGGCGCTCTATCTGCTGAACTATATAAAGAAAAGAAAATTAATGTAACTTTTTATGTTTTTCCGTCTGATTGGCAGATTTTTTTTTTTTTTTTTTTTTTTTTTGAGACGGAGTTTCGCTCTCGTTACCCAGGCTGGAGTGCAATGGCACGATCTCAGCTCACCGCAACCTCCACCTCCTGGGTTCAGGCAATTCTCCTGCCTCAGCCTCCTGAGTAGCTGGGATTACAGGCACGCGCCACCATGCCCAGCTAATTTTTTGTATTTGTAGTAGAGACGGGGTTTCACTATGTTGACCGGGATGGTCTCGATCTCTTGACCTCGTGATCCACCCGTCTCGGCCTCCCAAAGTGCTGGGATTACAGGCTTGAGCCACCGCGCCCGGCGATTGGCAGATTTTAAAGATACAACCATGTTGTATTCTTTTGTATCCATGTTGTTATCCAGTGACTAGCAAAATTCTAAGCACATACTAGGCAGTAAGTAAGTGCCAAATGAGTATCACAGTAAATACTTCGGAAGAACAGTGATCATGAGAATCATGTAAAGCACCTATGAACATTGTTAAAAATTGTTATAATTATTACACACACACACACACACACACACACGCACACACACACACACACACACACACACATTTATTCAGCTCTGAGGAGGAGACCAGAATAAACTTCTTCCTTATTTGAAAACCAGTAAGTACTTTTCTTTGGGGTGCCTTCCTGGTTTACCTTAAGCAAAGAAGAAGAGCAAATCACATAGAAAAGAAATTACTTTGAGGCTGCAGTATAACTGCCGCGAGAAACTCCTGACATCGTGTTCACGGCGAAGGAAGAGTTACCAGCTTATCCTCCCAGAAATCCAAGGAGGAATGGAAACAATTGGTTTTTCTAGATTTTTTTTTTTTTTGTATAGCTGAGCAGATAAAGAGGCTATGGAAATATATTCCTAAAGTCTGTAATGAAGGTTTTTATTAGTGGATTAAAATGGACACTGTCTTAGAACATTTATACCCATACAAATATATTGCAATGGTTGTTAACTTCCTATGATTTACATACACACACACACACATGCACACACATATATAAATTGTTCTGTTTTGTTTCAAGCATTCATTGTATCAGCTTTGCCACAGAGTTATTAACTGTGATGTTGGGCAGGCCTTTCGATCACTTGGGGCTCAGTTTCTTCTTCTGCTACATGACACGTTGGATGAATAGAAGACTGCTAAAGCCTTTTTTCCAGCTCTAACATCTAAGATCATGAGGTAGGTCTGAAGGTCAGGAGCATTCACCCACTGATGGGGTTTTAATTCTGATTTACAGAGTAGGAAGATTCGCCATGTTGCTGATGTTGCCCTAGGTTAACACAATCAAAAGGATCTTTCCAAAATCTTAGCCCTGATAACTTTGGCATACCATGCAGCAGCCTTCCCTTCATGTGTGCTTTGTTTCTTACTCTGTGTACACTTCGGATCTTATCTGCCTGTCTCTTGTTCTGTCTGCCTCTCTCCACACAAAGGCATACAAAGTCAGAAGTGTGTGCAAACCAGTGAGAATGAGAAACACACTGGGATGGGGTGACTTTGTAACTCTGGTCAATTTGCATAAGTCCCAAAAGTTCCATTCTCTAATTTGTGAATGGAATAGTTTGTGAAAGGCAGGCTGCAGACTGACAAGCACACTGCACGTATGAGGAAGTATTTTAAGTAAATAGAGAAAATTCGGTGTGTCCTCTCATTCCTTCTCAAGGCACAAAGCTCAGGGCAGGAGCAGTGCCGGGGAAGTCCTTGGCCTTTGGGGTGTACTTCTCCCTTCTTCAACTCTCCCACCTGGGAGCTGGATAACTCAACAGTGGAATGAAACCTCAATGAAGGGAATTATACCATGATGTCAAGCAGTGAACATGAGTCTACTTAATCCAAGCCAACAACTCGGCCACACATTTAATAAGGTGGGGGCGGGGAGACCCAGCAACACAAAAACAAAGAACTCTCAACTTTACAAACACTGGGAGGGCAACAGCTGGTCAGCCGAGATTAAAGGAGCGTGAGAGAGCACCTCCCATCTCCTGACTTCTCCTCCCCCATAGACGTCCCTGCAGCCAGCCAGGGCTCGCTTTTTACAGCCCTGTGCGGATGACCTTGTTCCAGCCAAGATAGGAGCTCTTTTGATCTCAGCAGGGGGATGCTCTGGGCCTGCAGCTGGCAGATATTAATAGTACAGGATCTGTTGGGGTGGAAGAGATCTCTCAGTTGGGCCAGGTCACTTGTATTCCCTCCTCTGCATCAGAGCAGAAGGGACTTCATTTCCCTGGATCAGCCCCTGCTGGGTACTACTCCTCTCAGGTCAACTCAGATCATTTTATCACTGGCGCTCTTGGCTGCTTGTTCTCACCCCACAACTGTTTTCAAGGGAGCACTGTTTAAGCAGTGCACTGTGCACTGCAGCTGGAATCTGTTACAGGACAGGGTAGACCTCGGGCCCACCCATCCCAGTGTGTTTCTCGTGCTCACTGGTTTGCACACACTTCTGATTTTGTATACCTTTGTGTGGAGAGAGGCAGAGAGAGCAAGAGGCAAGACGTGAAGTGTATACAGAGTGAGAAAGAGACAGCAATATAGGAAGGGGAGACTGTTGCAGGTATGCCAAAGTACCAATGCGAAGATTTCTGAAGGTCCTTTTTATTGTGTTTAATCTAGGGTAACATCAGCAACACACTCATTCTTCCCACTCTGTAAATCAGAATTAAACCCTATCATTGGGTGAATGTTCCTGATCTTCAGACCCACCTTATGATCTTAATTGTTAGCGCTGGAAAAGACGGTAGCAATCTTCTAGTCATCCAATCTGTCATTTAACAGAAGAGATGGGGGTAGAAATAAGGATTTTTTTGGTTGTATATTCTATATTGTTCTAGACTAGGCACTTTGAATCACAGTATTTTCTTCTTTACATTTCATGTTGTTGACAGAAATTCAGATGTAGAGTTTATTGTAGAGTTCTGTGCTTAGTTATTGACACTGTTCTGTGGCCAAGGACATGTTTCTTAGTCCTTGCGAATTCTTCCTTATGGTCATTGGAGATACTAAGGATTGTTGGACCTTAGTCCTAGGGGATATCTCTTTTCCCCATAGTGATTAATAGTGAAGGGATCTAACAGTCCAAATGGCCTAAGATGCCATACCCTATTCTGAAGTCACCTGGGATTTGAGCAGAACTGGGTGAGTGCCCACCTAGTGTGACACAGTGGTAGGTGAGATTTGACGGATGGTAAC